AGGAAATATCCACTTACTTTGTTTATGAATTTACACATCTTCAGTCAAACACAATTCCTTAACAGTATCCAAACACTTCCCAAAATTATCTGAACTAGCATCTGTATACTGGTGTCGCCACATAAATTCACAAAATAAGAGTAAAAAATATCTGATGTTCGACCATACCCATTTCCTTCCTCCAAACAGGACACTTACTAGTGGCTACTAAGTAAACCTTCATTTACACACCAGTCAATTAATGCTTTTTCCCTTTTTGTTCCAAATCATACAGAAACTTCAAATTAATCTTACCACATTCAGCCAATTTACCGTGTAAACCACAAAATAACGTACTAATTCATCACACACAAGCCCTTACCCAAAATCCGACACACATTTTCCAAATTTTTTCCCATGATTCAAATTCACCGCAACCAATTACGTCATAATAGGGTTTCCATAGCATTCAACTTTTCAGGTTGTCATAAAATGAGACAACAACTTAGCGATAAATGAAACAACAATTTCGCTATAATACAAGGGGTACCCTAAAGTAAACTCTTTCTTTGTATCAGAACAGGGATTTACTTACTGTTAGGCAGATGAAATCAAGCTAACCCTTTCGCCGTCCTCTCCTGTCCGTTAAAATTTCTCCCCAGCGGCCCTCTGTTTTTTGTAGTGTGTAATGTTATTTTCTCTGTACATCATAACTTTCGTAGTGGATGAATGTCAATAAATATGAAGTAAAATTATAAGGAAGTAAAGCATAATGGAAAAGTAATATCTCTGCTTATTTCTAACAGCAGGATAATTTGATAACATCTGATCCATGTGGTTCACTCCTCCCATTTTGTTGTTGTAATCTTTTACAATTATTGGTTTTTTTACAGTTCTTTTCCATGTTCCATAATCATTCGTTGAGTTATTATGGACTGTACTCATCAAACGTATATCCTTGTCGTTCCAATTCACAACCTCATTTTTTCTCTTTTTCTACTGAGTAGATGTTGAAGCCATCTCTCAATGTCTTGTATTTCATGTTGATTAGTGCTGCCCTCTAGGAGGTATTAGAACAAGCAAAAATAAAAACTCAAACAAGTAAACATTTAGACAGCATTTTAAATGTTTAAGAGTTTTAAAATGTAGAACGTTTGAAGTGCGTTACAGCCGCCCTGCAGAAGTTTCACTTGAACGCGCTATACACGTTACGGAAGACGAAGAGGTTAATTATGTAAAGGGAGAAGTAATTCAGCCTTTATGATAGTATAACTATTGATTGGAACAATTTTCTGAAAGAAATGTATTTCAAATTTTACTATTAAGTAAGTGAAGGTGGCCCTAAAAAAATTGTGGACAATCGAAAATCTGTTCACATGAGAAAAAGACAAAGCTGGCAGAGTACATCCTGAATATTGGATATTGGGTGCATTTTTCTGAGAAGCTAGTAAATTCCTTCTCACTCAGATTTTGAGTGGAGAGGCAACCACATTCATGGTGGAAATGATTGACCATGTCGAGGGATTATTGATTATTCATTCAGATTATTAGCTGGAATGTAAAAGAGAGGAATTGGAGATAAGCAACATGGAGGCATTTTACTGTGAACCATAAGTTTTAGTTTGTTGATTGAACAACAGTTGCTGATAAACTGAATGTTGAAACATTGAGAAGCTCTGTTAAGTAGCAAAATAAAAATGTGCCATGTTCACCAGGAGAAAGTCCTTGGGGCTTGAAAATGCTCTGAGAAGTAAACATAAACTTGACACTAATTCTGGTGCTAACTTGGCATTTAAAAACAAGGGTTGTAATATTAAGGGAGTTCTTTATAATTTTTATAATAAGGGAAAAAACAGAGTTTATGTAGCTAAAATATTTTCAAAATTGCAATAAGCATAATTACAGTTTTTTGTTTTTTCATTCATACTTGATAGACATTTAAAAGATTTCTCTCTATGATCTGGAAAAGATGCTACATATATACACTGTTATCTTATTTTTATATACAGTCAAAAGTCGTTAATCCGGACTCGTCGGGACTTCGGCGAGTCCGGATTATAGATCATCAGTTTAAATCTGGTAAGATGGCATGCAAAAATTACAAAATTAAAAATATGAAACCATAATTTAGGAAATAAAGAACAATTATGATCTAAAGCAAGGATGTCAAACTCGTGGCCTGTGGGCCGCATGCGGCCCACAACAAATATTTTTGCGGCCCGGCCAATATATCGGCAAGTAACAACAAGACGACACGGCGCGCAATGAACTGGAAGTTGATCTGTCAGCACTATTCTTATCTTCAGGGCAGATGTTTTTATTTTATTTGGCTTATAATTCCTTACTAAATGTAGTATTTCATCTCGATGTACTCCGTCTTTGATATGATTTAAATCAAATTCCTCGTTATTATAAATATCACGAATACACATCAAATAGTTTTCTGGTTGCAATTGTCTAATTTCGACTATGCGTAATGTATGCTTTATGCATGCACGCATTGAGAGAAATGTTTAATAAAATAAACAAATAAATATTAAGCTTTTTTTTTTTTTTGTAAATTTTGATACCCTTTAGATCATAATTGCTCTTTATTTCATAAATTACGATTTCATATTTTTAATTTTATAATTTCTGCATGCCATCTTACCAGATTTAAACTGATGATCTATAATCCGGAAACCGATAATCCGGAGTCGCCGAAGTCTCGACGAGTCCGGATTAAAGACTTTTGACTGTATTAGTTATATAACAGAAGATGCCAGAAACTTTTGAAGAATCACAAAATTACTTGATATTCTAGATATGTCTTTATTACTTGTTGCACTTCACAATTACACAATCTGCACCCCACGATTTTGATGATGGCACATTACATTTTTTAACAAAAGCAGCCAAGCAAAGAGATGTCCTTCAGCCAGCAAGCATAGGCAGAGAAAGAGGGAGGGTAGTAGGATTGCAACAATATTTATAGTAAAATTTTTCGTTAATCTGATTGTCTGAAACTTATAGGCAGTGCAGAAGTTTCAAGATGACATAATGTGGAATACGCTTTCAGATATGAAGCAGTCTAGAGAAAGTTATTACTAGAGAAAAAGTACCCAAATTAAAAATGAGTAATTAAGAGGCATTTTAAATTATAATTTTGTCTTTTACAAAGTTTGCAAAGAAATACTAATCACTTAATTCATTAATATCAGGAATCTTTTTTTAAAACTGCTATTTTATTTTGAATTGCACACGAATAGATATTTTCACTCTTTTGTTTGCATATCGACCCTAAATATGATGTCCAAATATGAAATGCCTCTGTCAGATTTTATCATGCGAGGGTCACACATTTTGTATTTTATTTTTTATAATGAGCATAATTTTAAAATATTAGTACCTGGAAATGTACAAAAAAAAATTAAGATTTTGTAATTTTTACAAAATTGGTTTTTTAATATTATGTTTTGACATTTATTATATGACAGATATTTAAGTTTTGACCTTTTTAAAATGTCAAAACAAGTATTTTCATGATTCAAAATATATGTCTATGATGAATGGTTGTGGAAATCAAGGCGAGTAAGGATTTTTGTGGTCACAGTAAATACTTTTATGGTAAAATGTGATAAATAAGATGTTATGACTATTTATTAGTATGTAATTTTTATTGTTATTATAATAAATTATGGTAAAAGTAATAACTATTTATGATAATTGTGCTATAGTAACTATTAATTTAAAAAAAAAAATTCTGCAAAAAGTTAGTTTTATGATTTTCAAAATTAAGTGATGGAATATTTATATATATTACTGATATAAAAGTTCTAAAAAATGTGAAAATCTTGTTTCTTGATGTGAAGAAATAGGAGTGTTCGCTTTTATTTCTGTGAAAATCAGCAAAAGGTATGAAAAGCATCTGATGGGAGATTAACAGGCAAATATCCTCTGCCTGTGAATTTCATCTCTCCAATGAACAGAGGACTTTCATATAAACTTGCAATAATGTTGTTCTATAATTAACACCCTTTCTGAACAACTTAAGTGTGTTGATGAAATGCCAGCCAATGTTTCAGAACTACATAGTGAACAATGTACTAAAGCTGCCAAAAAATAATTCTGCATGAAAAGTAGCTTATTTGCTTTAATGTAGTTCAAACCCTATATGGCTAAAAAACACATCAGGCATGTGCTACAAATTTGACTTAAGACTGTTATGTTACCAAAATTTAAATTGTAATTTATCTGCTGCATTTCCAATTATATTATTATGTTCTATGTTGGAATACAATAATGTAATTGAAAATGCCAGTGAAAGAATAAATCATATAAATCCAGAAAACTAACAACTCTCCATCTCCCCAAACTACTATTTCTTTTGTGGCATTTGTATATTACTGTAATTCTATGGTATGTGTGTGTTACAATTTCAAGTCTGGATTACATTGATGAAGTAGTTATTTTTTATGCACAATTGTGCTATTTGTATATTATTGTAATTCTGTGGTGTGTGTTACAGTGTTAAGTCTGGAATACATTACTGACACAGTTATTTTTTATTGGAAATTAATTAATTTTTGGTCTTATTGCATTATTCATTGTGTTCCCTTTCTGGAAGCAATAACTTCAGGGTTATTTTTGAATGTTTTTTTGCAATAAATCCAGTAAATTTTATTTTATCAACATTATATTTTTAATATATATTTAAATTACAAAGTTATGTTTTATTTCACAAATGATGTTTACTTCAGCTTTAGATATATACAGTCATATCAAAGTGCAGTGAAACCAAAGGACAACAAATTAAACATACTTTATTTCTAAAATTTTCCAAACAAGAAGTCTTTGTCCATTACATTTTTAAAACATATTTCAGTGTTTGTTAAATATTAACATTTATTGCTTCAAATATAATGATTTAATTGTGTAATTCTTTATGATAGGCAAGTTTATACTCTAATTTTGTAACTGACTGTGTAATTGTATATTTGCAAGAATTAAATGATTCTTACATGTACCCCCCTTCTTTTTAGATAGGATATATACTAGCCCGTTTGCAGTATCATCATTGGCATATTCCTCCAAAATGCTGAGTCATTATTCTTTTTTTGAGTGCCACTGTAAGATTATTACAGTGGCTCTAAGGTTATGATGTAATTAGCAGATAAGAAGGTATGCAGTTTGAAAGAACCTTAAGATGACATTGCTTGATGATGACGTAAATTATAGCATTACTGCTGATTTTAGAGGTATTTTATTTTATGTCATGCCAAGAGGTGTTTAATTTCTCATAATGCTTCCCCTCATAGATAATTAATTAATTAATTAATTTGTTGTTTTGCCTCGTAACAATTTGCTATCTTTTATAGCTTTTGGTAGAATATTTTGTAGTGTATAAAACAAATTGATTGTAGCTTTCATTTTGTGAATTTTGAATAAAGGAACACTTTTTATGAAAATTTACCTAGAAAAACTTTGTGGATTAATTTTTGTCTTGACCTATTTTTCAAAAGATGTTAAGTTTTTCTGGTTCCCTTTGGAATGATGTATTTAATAATGGTTAAAATGTATTTTTTTAGCTAAATAACCTAAATCATGATTATTAATTTGCTTTGTTAAATATTGCAGAAATAAATGTATATTATCTCTACATTTTTTTATAGTATACATGCAGTAACACTTTTTGTATCACTTAATGAGTGCAGGGTATTATGTTTTCTTTTATTGTTCTTTTTATATCAGGATGGTGCATAAGATCTGTAAACTTATTCTTCATTCCTTGTGGTCTTCCACTGTTTCTGTAGCTTGTTTATATACATATTTGTTTGGAGATTTATTTATGAAATTTTTTCTATTTGTACTTTTCTTTCTTTTTGCCAACAGAAGGGCTGTCAGTTCAGCATTTGAGCTGAAAAGTCCCACTGCTGTAATTGTGTGTAACACAAAACTTAGAATGCACATGCTTAAGATAGGATCTTTGCAGAACATTCCAACTCTCGACTATAAAGTAGATGACTGAACAAGACTGTAACAAATTCTAACACTTTAGGGTCGAAGGAGCAAATGAGCAAATGCAACAAAAATAAATAAACAAATACATGATTGTAAAATAAAAATTAAAAGTAAGTAAATAAGTGATATAAAATGAATGAATGTGTACATACGGCAATGCAGTTAATATAAATATACAATAGTAAGGTAGAATCATATTGCTATTAATTAAATAAGATGCTATTAATAAACAGAGGATGTCAGTGAATAAGGCAGAGCAGTGATCATATAATAAACATGGATGATAATAGAAACTGTATTTAAAAGATTCAAGCAGATGAATTAGATGGTGGTCGTATTGAAGTATAATAAATGCAGATTGAGTAAATTTAGAATTGTGCATGTATAACATAATTTGATTGGACATTAAGAAAGGGTACTTAAAAATGACAATGCAAAATTAGAGTAAAAATCTTATGGACGATGTTCAACAATTGACATGATGCAAATGTTAACTTTAATCTCCGTTATTAATCTCAGGACGGCTAGGGGTAAGTTGGGCTTTCACTTTCCGTTCAATCGGGATAACTCTTGCATTTTATAAATGCTTTTATTATAGTAAATATACGCATATATACATATCATTACGGAACATTCTTAATCTTAATCACATTCCCTCGCTTGCCGATTCTCGATTTATATCTTGCGTCCCCTGTCGGCGGCTTTTCTGCAATGCCATATATCGGCTGATAACACAAATAAGAGAACAAAAAAATGCTTGCAATGTTGAAAACTTAAACACGTTGCATTAACGGTAATGGAAAAAGTGCAAATTCTGCAAAAGATGGAGACAGGTGCATTTTATAGCAGAATCGTATGGAATTGCGACACGATTGTGTATGACAAGGATGTCAAACTCGCGGCCCGCAACAAATATTTTTGCGGCGCGGCCAATATTTTGGCAAATAATAATATATAATAATAAAATAACATATCAACGAAGAAAAAAATGAAATGTTTACTGCTACGTAATTAACGATAATTTATTCAGTGTTGTTAGATTACTCACAGCGAGCTGATACACACACTACTTAAGTTACAAATGCGTGTGAGTAGCTTACGTTCAGCTACCTTCGGCTTTTGGGGGACACGTGCACTCAGAACTTGTACGCATCCCCCGATAGCCGAATGCGGCCAAACTCATGGTCTCAGTTTTCCAATCATAGTTTTGTATGATATATTGGTGCATGCATGTGCATGCACTTTGCTTTATTATTAATTATTACTTAATTCATATTGTTACGGATTTCATAGTTATTTATTAGTTAGTTTTTTTTATTTAGAATTGCAATTAGATTTGCTTCATAATGCCTTAGCAACGCAGACAGTTTTTGAAAAGACAGCTGCGTTGGAAGGTTAAAAATAGAACAGCGCACAAAATTCATTGAAGTGGGCGTGCCTGAATTTTACAAATATTTACCAGCCAGGTTCGAAAATTCGCATATGAAATTATTTCCATGTTTGGTGGCACTTATCGGTGCGAGCAGTTATTTTCAGTCATGAAAGGTAATAAGTCTCCTATTAGAAACCGTATTAATGATGCTCACCTTGGGTCAGCGTTTGAAGTATCATTGCAAACAAATTTCTCCCGAATAGGAAAGATAATAGCAGAGAAGAGATGTCAAGTATCAGGACGTAAACATTAAATTTTCTTGTTCTTTTCTATGTAAATATATATATATGTTTATTATTGTATTATTCAAAATAAATCTACATTTCTATGAATATTGATTTTTTTTTTTTTTTCGGCCCGCCTAAAGTTAAACCTTGTTTGTTTGGCCCAAGTGTTCCTATGAGTTTGACATCCCTGGTGTATGATATACAGAAAAATAAAGAAAAGCTGTTGAAATTTTACAGCAATAGTGATTAGTGATGAGCCGGTACTACCGAACTGGGTATTTTGTAACGGGTACTGAAAATCGGTACATCCAAGTATCCGTTACTTCAGTACCGAAATCGGTACTTTTCAGTATTCGTTACTTCTGTATTGAAATGGGTACTTTTCGGTATTCGTTACTTCTGTACCGAAACGGGCACTTTTCGGTAATCATTACTTCTGTACCGAAATGGATACTTTTCGGTATTCGTTACTTCTGTACTGAAACGGGTGCTTTTCGGTATTCGTTACAATTGTAACGAAAATATGCGTTTCTTCTCGGTATTTCGGTATTCGTTACTGGAGGATCGATGAGGGTTCAGCTCACTTCGGTTTTGGTACGAGGACAGTAGTATCTGGTTGTATTTGCGAAATGGTGATATGCGCTCCTTGTGTCCATGAATGGTCTGCTCCTCAGACACCGTAGCTCATATTCAAAATCTTACTCCGTACAGATAAAATCAAACACGTGGTGGCGTGGAAGAGTTCCTTCAGTTCCTTAGCTGCGTATTTCGGTACTCCAAATTGTTACTAGGGTACTTTGGTACTGCAAATCGTTACTAGGGTACTTCAAATCGTTACTAGGGTACTCTGGTACAGTAAACCTTTACTAGGGTACTCCGGTACAGCAAACCGTTACTCCGGTATTTCGTTACTTCGGTACTCCAAGTCGTTACTTGGGTACTCGGTACTTGAAATCGGTTTTCGGTACTTTTCAAAGTAACGGTTACTTGAGTAACGGGTATTTTGTACCAGGTACTTGTCTGTACCCGTTACTCTCGTACCGGGTACAAGAATGTACCGAAGTTGCCCATCACTAATAGTGATTCTAACACCGGATGTCTGAACAGTTAAAATGCTTCACATATTCCATTAGAAATATGTAGTTTTACAAACCTGCTACTATTTGAATAATGCTGTCCACTAAAGCAAGAAAAGGGTTTTTAAAGGTAATTTAGCAAGGCAGTTTAGGCCAGTTGTATCTGAATTGAAAATTGCATTAAGAACACTTTTAACATTGCTAATTTTTAATGCTAAAGTGAAAACTTCAGAAAACTGAAAGTTAAAAATTTTAAATTGTAAATAAAATATGCAAAATTCTCTTTGGCCCAAAAAAAGTTTCAAAAGCCTGTGTGCAAAGTATCAGTAGTCAAGTAGATTTTGGAATAAACATATTTTTGATATTATTTTGTTAAAAAAAGGAATATTAAATTACCAAAAGCATAAACATTGTTATACCTTTTATATTAAATGCAGTTTTATTTATATTATTTCAGTGTTATTTACATTTATCAAAAATTGTACTTTTTAATGTTTTATGATTAAAAATGTAAAAGTTATGATCTGATTTTATATATTTAGACTTGCTGAATATAGATATATACAGATATAATTTGATTGTACATAGGTGTGTACATTTACCTCTTTGTTCCCTGTGAAAAACTACCTAGGCATGGCTTTGGTTATATCTTATGCTGCTGTGAGCTAATGCTAGGTATACTATGATATATTTATATATACAAGGTTCGTACGGTCCTTAAAAGTCCTTAGATTTTTTAGAATCGATTTTTGATCCTTAAAATTCCTTAATTTTGGCCAAAATCAGCAAGTCTTTAATTTTAATCATCTGAAATTTCTGTCTGTTTTTACGACTGCCATTTTGAGTGTGAATTAGAATTTTGGAGGAATATTTTTGGCGATTCACTGCCGTATATATGGTTATCTTTTGAATGGGTTCATGAGTTATAATTTGTTTCTATTTCTTATATAAATGATGGGGTACTCGAGTTTCTAAGCAAGAAGTGAAACATAAGCATTTCAAAATTCATTTTATCTAATAACAAGCTTTTAAACAACTTTTCTCTTTTGGGGATGTTAATTCTTTTATTAAACGGTTCTAAATTTGGCCACTTATCAACATTTTGGCCATTTTAAGATCAGTTTCTGTAGAAAATTTTCAATTCCGAGATCTAAGAATTTTTTGACGATTTTTTTTAAAAACATCGTAACATTTATAAATTTCAACAAAATAATGTTAATATATTGAAATTATATTTAAAAAATAAAACATTTTTATTTTTGCTGTCATATTAAAAGTTCATTTTGCAACTTATAATGCAATTTACGAAACGCTCTTAGCAAAAGCAAAATTAGGTATGTAAATAATTAAAAATGTCGTGTTTTTATTTTGTTTTTCATAGTAAGAGTGTTTCCCATGTAATTGTCTAAAAATATTCAAAATTCTCAGAATGTGCATCAGTTTTCTCTATAAAATTAATTTTATACATCATCCTTTTTTTTTTCTCAAAATATTTCTGGCTT